GATACCTCTAACGATTTCCGCAGTATGCCACTTTGTCGATGCTGCATGTCTACCTTAATATTCACCTTAATAATTTATCAGTTTCAAAGCTCCATGCCGACTTCCTCATGCTTATTAATTTAACGAAATGGCTACGCGCGAGAGTACCGCGCGCGTAGTACTTTGACTACGCGCGAGAGTTTCTCGCGCAATGTCAAATAACCACGGGCGCAAGTTACCGAAATTAGAAGGTTATCGATTTTGAACTGACTATTATTATACTTGAATTAACAACCAAGGTCAAGATTAATGTTATACTAGTGTCCGAATAATTTCTTGCATATGTACCAGGACTGTGTGCAAGACGGCACAATTAAGCAGTTTATGCTACCTACCGGTACTTGTGACGGTTGTAATTTACTCCTCTAAATTGGACTCGCCTTTGCTTAAAACTGGAGGTCGTTTTATGTCATACGAAGCAGCTGTAAAAGTTGTCCAAGATCAAGGACAACTGATCAACCAAGTTTTTGCAAACCCTGGAGGAAACGCGAGGACATCGAAAACACTTCCGCACCATGCAACTTTCCCATACAGTTCCGCCCGCTCAGTCTAATAAAAGGGAGGCGAATATCGCCCACACGGGAAAGACGAGCTGGTTACCCACAAGTCCATCACAACGACGCTCAGGAGTGGTTGCAAACCATACGTTCATGTGAAGCTTCTTAACGGTATGATGGAAATCGTACATCTGCCGGCGTGGACGACCATGACCATGCCCTTGCAAGCACCATAGTCCAACATATCCCGGAGAACAGAACTGTCCGCAACGGAAGTTGACACCGGGCTCTTCATCACCCGCGTACCGCCTCGTATCATCGCGGGTAGTAGGTACCATCAACGCGACGCGTCGGCCGACGAGAATGTTCGCGACAGTCATCACGAAAGACAGTTTTAATCAAGAGACGAGAATTTGCAAGGAAAAACGACTGGGCTGTCGGGAGGACGAGATTTTAACGCAGGCAAGCCTCGCTAAATAGTAAAACACCAAGACTACGTCAACATTGCAAAGGCAGTGGTAATGCATAGCCTTCCGATTCCGAAGTCGGCCAAGCACTGGGCACTGCAGTTACTGAGTCTGCCGCGAGAGTCGTCTAAGGTCAGTGTCTGCTGTTTCTCCCACGTGTGCGCACTGTACGACTGTCTGAAGCCTGACGCTGTAAGGATCTTTTGCTCGACGGGACAACTGCCAACAGATCTTCTGAAGTTGCAACTATTTCGTTTGTTCTGTTTTCTCGGATTCAAACGGTCAAGTCGAAATTGAGTACGTCGCAGTCTACGGACAGCCGTCGGTGATGAGCATTTATCCGTCTGCATTTGCTTATGACCTGCTGCTGCAAAAGCTATCCAGACAGCAAATTACTACCCGGACCGAAATTTCGGGAATGGTTTCGCGAAATCGTTATAACGGCGTGTTGAAGCAACCGCCAAAAACAAAGGGGCGAAATACCCGTAGTAAGACAGTGATCACCTTTCAAAGCATACGCGTTTCCGCAAAAGAAGCCAAAGCGATGGAGAAAAGCAGTGAAGCTGCCGCCTGAACGAAGAGATAGTGCTCTCTGAACTCAAATGATGATTTTAGAATTATTATCTGTAATGATGCGGCATTTGTGCCAAATTTTAGTTTATTATTGCTCGTTTATGAAAATAAAAAACAACAAAACTCTCGCGCGTAGCTGATTCTACTCAAGTTTTACGACGGGCGAGAGCTCTCGCGCATAGTCAAACTACTACGCGCAGGAGCTCTCGCGCGTAGACAAAGTGCTACGCGCGTGAGTACTCTCGCGCGTAGACATGACCTTAATTTAATCACCTTAGAAGTTTAATCAGGTTGTAAACATTATTCCGACTTCGCCATGCCGAATAATTTACGTAGCTTAATAATTTAATCGGTTTACAAACATCGTTATTCTTACTTAAGCGTCATTGATGACTCATATTTCGCCAAGGAAAACTACTCGCACGACATGGGGTCGCAGGCATTCCGGGGCGCTCATTCTCAGCTATTCCACGGATCGCTAAGACGCTAACGTCAGAGGCAAAACGGAAATTAAAAAAGAAACCGGAGTTATATTTTTCAGAAGGCGTTAATAGCTGCACAGCAAACAGTACCGATATTCGATGGAATGCACTCTTTACCTTACCGCGAAAAACGATATCGCTTACTGTACGCAAAATAAGATACTCAGGTGACAGAATTTGAATCCACATTCTCTAGATGTTTTGATTTACAGGTACGTACTTAAATATCCTACGAGTGTTTGCCAACGGATTTTTAACACTTTAAATCGAAAGTTCTCGAAATCGAAACTTCGAATTGATACTCGAAGTTTCTTTTGTAGTCTAATATTTTACTACAGTATTAAATGCGCATCAGACATAGCTGCAAATGTTTCTGCCAGTAAGTTTATTATGCTGCTTTTTAATTGGTGAGAATGAGTATTATTGCATGTCAGTATCGATTCTAAGATGCTGTACCCTTAATGGTCGTAAAAATTGGAAAACGGGTCAGTTAAGGGAACGCTTTGTGACAGCATGAAACAAAGCAAATACAATGAATGTATCGCTTGTGGCATGTTAATTGATTAATTAAAGACGACAGCAACATTAAACTTACGAGTGGAAAACTGTTAACGTTCGTATACCAAAATACGAGGCTACAATCAATCTATATATTTGAAATTATTAGCGCGGAGCACATATGGTACGTAATATATGTTTGTCGATAAGCGATGCAGTGACTGCACCCGTTTTTGATAAAGTATTGACCTTTGGATTTGAAAACTGATCAACTGCATAACGTGCCTTAAAGTGCGTTTATGCCATCTAACGATTAAAACCAAAACTCATAGTGTTGTTGCAACAGTCTGTGTGAAATAAGTTACAATAGACATAATTATGAAATTTGAACATGAAATCAATCACCGTTTACGAAAACAGTTGACTATCGCTGAATGGCACTTTCCAGACAAAAACCATCGCTTACTCACACTGCACCTTGTTCAGCTAAGAATTACGGGCAGGACATGTCGGCATTATACATAATTCGGCATTCTGGAACATTGACTTTAAAACCAGCGACTTTGTGGGTTTTCACAATTAGTGCTGGCAAAACGCAAATTACGTGCTAAACCGGTTTACATGATACTCAGAAGCTTCGACAAATATTTATAAACCGTGTATAAAGTCTAGCGCTTTCGGCAAGGAAGTGGCCAGTACATGGTACCGAATTCTACATACATGTACGAAAACTTTCACTTTCGCTCACTCCATACGTTTTGTTTCGTTTATGCCATTCTGCGTAGTCAGATGATTTGTATACACTGTCGGAAAACCGTTTGTGCGCAACATCCGATTTCGGGAGTTATATTGTTAGAAAATTCCAAAAAGTTTAAATGCATTCAGGTGTACCAAAAGTCTCATTCTGGACCGATCTTCTTCAAATTTTGCACATAAATGCACATAACCTTGAAGATTGTTTTTACATTGCTGAGGTGACCGCTCCACTTTTCTAGCATGTTTTTCAAATTTTAAAATGAATTTCAAAAATTGTAAAATTCATTTTAAAATTTGAAAAAAATCATGGAAGTTTGGATCGGTGTAAAAACAATCTTCATGGCCATGGCATCTATGTGCGAAATTTGAAAGAGATCGGTCCATAATGAGACTTTTGGTACACCGGAATGCATTCGAACTTTTTGGAATTTTATAACAGCCATAACTCCCGAACCGGATGTTGCGCGCACAAACGGTTTTCACGACAGTGTATATGATTCATCTGACTGTAGAATAGCATAAAACGAAACGAAAACGTATATGGGAGTGCGCGAAAGTGAAAATTTTGGTACATGTACACGAATTTGGTACCATGTACCGGGCCACTTCCCTTAACACAGGTAGTGTCACATACGAACCTTCACACTTGCAGATTAACGCATCACTAGTCTGATGGTGCTTTGGTCCAACTACGACAAGGCTTGGAAAATATTGAGTATCCCCAGTCAACTGAGGCGATATTTGTGAAGGACCGATGTTTGTTGAGACTCTCTATGAGCTGTGCGTTTCGTCCAACCGGTTTACCAACAGCAATGGTGGACAAATTGAATGCCGAATTTCCAAATTAAATGTGGCCACGCCCAGTACAGCGCCTGTGATGGTATCAACCAGTCCCTCGATTTCAATTTTTAATGGAAGCGCCCGCACTAACCTTAAAGGGATTGTCTACTGTTCGCAAGGGCTTAACGCGACACGCACCGGGGTCACTGATGAGACTGGATATGGAAACACCCGTGGCTGCAAAAATGGTGCCCGAAACCGTTAAGCGTTGTCGTAACTCGTACGTAACAACGTCAGCCTGACAATTTTATTTATCGTTCTTGCAGCAGTTGCAGCCAAACCTCGATTTTAGCAGTCCAGACGATATTCTGTTAAGCGGCCAACAGACAGCTACTTTTTCACTGATCCGCCTTATGGTTACTACCAAAGCTTTCGACCTAAAACACATTGCCACCTTTTGTCTATTTCGCTGACAGAAGAAGTCTGAATGTCACACTCATTTAGGAGTTTCTTCCTAACTACCGACCGAAGGGACTTTCGCCTTCCGCGGATGAATCTCAGTTGTACGATCGCTAATTCAGGTAAACGACTATTATTGTTTCAAATCGAATGAGAATATGATACAAACGAACATTTTTATTCACGCTATCAAGTACAAAAAATTTTCCATGTACTGTATGTGAGGTGCCTCAAACGACACAGGTGTTACGGAAAGATCCGCGAGAAACCTAAAGGAACGCATTATTAACGACCCGTAATTATATATTATTGTGTGCGCAGCTGAAAGAGCCACCATTAGCCACTAAGATTCTGATGGTTCGCCAGCCAAAAGTAGACAGCAATACTCGATCAGCAAATTTACGAACTAGGTACTTATAAATTATAATACAGTATGTAGCACTACTCGGTTATTTCAGACTAATCATCCACATCAGAGGGTCGAAAATCATTTGCAGACTGTATAAAGTACTGATTATTGTGTAGGCCCAGCCGGGTAAGCGGAATCCCACGTACAGCATCGTCCAATACACATCCGCCGGAATCCAGCACAGCAGCTCGGAAACTGAGGTCATCGTTAGTACGATAAACGGCTTAACCTGCCGCTTCTTCCCTGGGGACTTCTTCCCTTTGGATTTCTTTTCGGTGGCCCTCTCATCATCATCCTCGACAATATCCGCCTTCGTGAAAACCGTGTCGTTCTGCGTAGAGACCGCGCTCATTTCGTGGTGATCAACAGCGCGCTTCTTTTTCCATTTCGTGACAATAATGTAAATGTAAATTCCAATGACCAGAATCAGTGGTATGAAGCGATGCAGAACGATATCGGCGATGCGCCAGGGCATCCACGAGGCGCTGGTCACCTGGCAACCTTCCTTGATAGGACTGATACTTAAGTATTCCACCATGAGCATTGGAAACTGTACCACGTGGACGTACAGCAGCACGCCGGCGCACAACGAAATGGCCATCTTTTTATGATGACGATGCCGGTAGGATACGGGGTACCTGATCGCCCAGAACCGGTTGATGGAGATGAGGGCGTGCACCAGTACCGGCAATTGACAGATGACAAACTGCACGTACATGTAAAACATACATAATACCAAACCGCCGGGGAATGCTCCCGTTGCGGTGGTCATAATCCCGATCGGCCGGACGATGGCTAAATAGCCGAGATTTCCAATGGATATGGCAATCAAGTACACGGTGAAGGATGTGATGCGGGTTTGCGGGAGGAACTGTAGCAGGAGCATGACGGCGTTTAATGAAAATGAGATACCAGCAATGAGGGCCATCATGACCAGGACGGGCGTCCAGCCTGATGGTGCAGCTGCCGGCTGAGTGGTGTTGAAGGTAATTGTAGTGTTGCTAGTGGAATTCATTATTCAGCTACCGGTTCACTGTAGGAGAATTAGGAGAACTCTAATGAAAGGTCAACGTCCACGTAGACGATATTACGGAATGTATCTGCAATAGAATCATGACCTTGTCATATACTGCGGTATGCAGTTAAATACACTTACCGTATTCCAAAATCCGATGACATTTAGCCGTTAGAAATCAGGAAATTGATGCCAGCATTCCAGCACATCTATCACATGACCGTCGTCTTATATTCCGCTGATTCAGGGATGAGCTGAGCAAATTAGGCTCGTTGTACGGATTTGCACGCTGCTAACTTGTGTTAACGCGTTAATTAGCTTGATTATACAAGCGCTTACGCCACTATCACTTTTTCCAGGAAGCGAAAAACCGTGCACGATTGTTGTTATAAGAGTGCTGGAGACGATGGATCGGATGTCTGGAATAGGTGGTCCGCGAAAGTAGTTTGGCCAGCCACTGTTCGAGTGCTTAAAATAAGAACAGCGTCAGGATGACCTTTAACCGCTACATACTTTTGCTTGCCATGACTGCCGTAATTACGGCTACTTTACAGAATCTCGGTTGTCCCGGATACTGGTATCGTATCGTTGAATGCTGCCTTTTTCAAATATGCCGGAATATTGGACAGCTTTTAAAAGAAATATGATTTACCTCCTTTCCGATAGGCTTGTTTACGTCGGCACCGGCAACTGCCACTAAACGATCCAATTAATGATATAACCACATAATAGAATTCTTGCTGGGAGGAGCTGGTTAAAAATGAACTGACAAATGCGGAGACAGATACCTCCGTTGTAGTCTTGACCGTATCCCAGTGCATAAGCAGGAAATCGATTGCGTACGCCAAGCGGTTAGCCTTGCAATTGCGATATCTCTACACTCTACATCTACGTATACGTAAGACTTATGCAAACGAGCAGAAGTGAGCGGATTACTTTCTTTTCTTATCGGCGGCGTAGTGCGTCATAAGGTCGGTTTTCTTTGATTCCCGCACAAAGCGATCACCAGCTGGTTTTTTTCTTGTTTTCGGATTGCATCTATTGTTTTGATATGCTATTGCGTAAGCATCAAAAAGGTCATAATTATAGCATGGCAGTCGTCGTTGAATGTCTTGTTATTTGGCCTGGAATATTACCGCAAATCTCATTGATTCTGTGTAGACAAGCGGCAGCATAAATAACATCCCACGCGCGCGTCATGTGTAGGCTGTTATCATTTCTGTTAATTCATACAGGAAATTAACTTCCTTTCTCATGATTCATTTGGATTACATCCTCTTATTCCGGAATCCAGGGTCTGATGTAAACATCGAAATTCATTTGAGCACAATTAAAAATTACTAATCAGTTTCCGCGATCCTTTTGTCTCTACTAAAGACGGCAGTTACTTTATATTTGGAGCTCGAGATTGTCACCATCCATCTACGAATATCAGTGCATTCCCATTTGTTTATCAATATTTTTAAAAAAAACCTGTTTCTGATGGATGCCGCTAATAACACAACATTTCGCCAGTTTAATGCCACGCAGTCTGGCGGCACCCGACCCGGATGGAATCCCATACTTGGCTTCTTGACCGCCATTGCTGCCATCGCCGTCATTCTAAACATAGGTATACTGCTGCTACAACTGTCACCGCGAATGCGCTTAACCTCCTTCACCATTTACCTGATTTTCATCTGCATCAGTAATCTTCCCGGTTTGGCCGTGATGCGGGTCATCGCCGTAATTAACACTCTCCGGGGCGCCTGGCCCGGCGGCCAACCCGTATGTATCCTGTACGTGTACGTGCAGTTTGTCATCACGCAGATCCCGGTATTCCTGCACGTCCTCATCTCGGTGAACCGTCTATGGGCCTTCCAGTATCCTCACTCGTACCGGCGACACCACAGCCAAAAGACGGCGGCGTTACTGTGTCTAGGAACGGTAGCCTATGTCCATTTTGTGCACTTCCCCCTCTTCTTGCTGGAATTCTTCTACTACAGTCCGCCCGGCCGACACAACAACTGCCAACCCGGCGCGGGAGGCATTCTGGAGTGGCGGCGCGCGGATATCGTTCTGCACCGGTTTATTCCGCTGCTGCTGGTGATCGGGATTTATATTTACATGACAGTGACGCGCTGGAAGAACAGGCGGGCGGTTAATAATGATAGCAACGCTGGAACGAGCCAAGGAGTTAGTGGCAGCGAGACGAAGGCAAGTGCCATGGAGGGAGTGAGGTCGCGCCGACTGAGAAGGAAGCATGCTCGGCAAAGAAAGGTCAAACCGTTTCTGGTCCTGACGATGACGACGCTTAGCGTGCTGGTTTGCTGGCTTCCCGCCGATATCTACTGGGCAATGCTCTACGCCGGCATCCAAATGCCTTTCTGGGCCTTCAACCTCAGCATTATTCTGACGGCTCTGCAAACAATTTTTGACCCGCTTATGTGGCTTTTAAGCCTGAAGTAAAAGAGCTTGGGTAATACCACTTAGTTCTCTTCAGCGCCCCTGATTATCCCAAAACTATCCTATGGTAATGCCGAAAACGAAAAATTAAGCGTTTAAAGGTTAGGTCGAAGCGCCAGTAAATTTACATTAAGATGCATTACGTTGGTCCAGGCTTTGTTAGCCACACCTTAAAAGCGTGTCGCCCATGATATTGTGATATTGGCTTTTTAACTGCTTTTGCTTGCATAATTCATTGTATTGCAATTCGAAATGTGTGCAATTTATTAATTAAATACGCCGTATACGCGTAAATTTTGAAGCATCGTGTTTAGACATTACTAATTTAATTTAATTTAATTTTAATTTAATTCGAATCAGAGCAGGTAGCCCATTTAGCCCACTAAGCCCAGTAGCCCACTACAATATGAGATCGAGAACTTGTTTCCACTTCGCTTACGGTTTAATTACTTACCCTACTTAGGTTCTAAGCACTGATTTTTGATCATTTTTGATTGCACGATGTCTTTGAACGTTAGCAGCATCTTTAGTTCTTATTAACGATTAACGAATTTCATCCCCGATTGATCTGAACCAAAGGCAGAAGGAGCAGTCGATTAAATTACGTACATGATTAGTCTTTCACAAATTAAGAGCGGCATGCTCAAAACACATTCGGTGTCGCTATTATTGTTCCAGATAGAAAGTCTGGGGGTGCTGATTCCTGAAATGGTTGCGTTATATCTGTACTTGGCACCCCACAGACAATGTTAGAAAATTTTGCATTACCATAAACTGCGGCATGCCAATTATCGTATGCGGTAACAGCAAATGACATTCAAAGTTACACCAAAATCACTTCGGATATGCCGTCAGAGTCCGGTAGGGTGTCCATAACGTATAGCGCGTTCTACCTCTTTGATCATTTAAATCGACCCATTTCAAGAACATGTTTTCATGGACAAAATCTCCATTAACGTGTGATCTATTGTATTTATTTCACAAGAAAAACTCTTGCTATTCGAAATTGACAAATCATTAAGACAATACATTATTCAACTTTAAAAAATGCACCTAATCTATAAATATGTTTAATGTCGCTTTAATGCAAGGCAATGCTGCTTGCGTTCACGAAACGTTCTGTAGCGGTAAGAGTTTGGAGTCTTGGACGAAGTGTATTATATGCGGAAAAGAAATACTTGTACTGCGTGATCTGGCGTTTAACCAGTGCTTAAGTGATCTTGTGTTTAACCAACGTTGATTTGAATAACCCAATAAAACATCTTTTCGAGTAAAATGCACGGGGTACTGTTATCGTAGACTGATCAGCCACATTATGGGGTCAAAAAACATTTGCAGAGAGTACAACGTCGATGTTATATTAAATACCCAATAGGGCAGTCGAAAGTTCAGATAAATCAGTGCCCAGTAAACATCCGACGGGACCCAGCAAATGAAAACCGTTATTGACGTAGCAGTCAGGATAATGAAGGGCTTCACTTGACGCCGCTTGATTAGCGAACGACGTCGTCCTGCTTGCATGATCCCTGCTAACCTTTCTAGACCACCGGCTTCTCCCGCAGCTTTGGTACTAGCTGTAGCATTTTGGCTGGACGCTGGATTTACAGCCTGTTGCTCGTGTTTCTTCATCCAGCGTTTAAAGATTATATGGATATAGATACCCAAAACCAGAAAAAGAGGAATGATGCGATGGATGATGATGTCGACCCGTCGCCAGTTGAGTATCCCTCCGGCACCCGGCTGGCAACCACTCGGTTTAACAGCTGGACTGTAGTGAAAGAACTCAAGTAAAAACATGGTAAAATGCACGACGTGGACGTATGCCACAGTTGCTAGACAAAGTAGAACTGCCATCTTTTATGATGGAACTGCCGGTACGATGCGGGATAGCTGACTGCCCAGAGACGGTTGAGAGAGATGAGGACATGGATGAGTACGGGTATTTGACTGATAACGAACTGGAAATACGTGTACGTTGCACACACGCCGTGACCTCCAGGCCATACGCCCGTAATCGAGCTGTAAACAGCGAGCGGCCGCACGCCGACCAGCCATAAAATATTCCCGATGGAGATGGCGATGAGGTAGATGGTGAAAGATGTGACCAGTGTCTGCGGTAGGAACTGGAGAAGCAGCATGATGGCGTTGCAGGTGAAGGACGCACAGGAGATGGTTGTGGATGCCAGCAGTAACGGTGTCCAGCCCAGTTGTGCAGCGGCCGGCTGGCTGGCGTTCTGAGCCGTGGTGTTGTTAAAAAAAGCCATATATGACGTAATAGAAAACTGCCGAGTTGTACGCGTGCTAATAAAATGAATCTAAACAAAAGCTCCGGCTTGAGGAGCTTTAAAACTTTTGTGCCGGAAAACCGTGGAATTTGGAAATACGAACGTTCTTCGACCTAATGTTACGGAACCTATGCAGTCATTCTATGATTGCAGTTAGTAGCTGTAACATGTGCTGTCAAAATATTATTTTGGGTGTCATATTGCAAAGTGAAAGATTCGATTCGAGGGTCCGTTCTCTCTTCTGTCTTTTACAAAGGTCATTTTACTGTAGACGTGCTCCGTCACAAGACTACGTCTGTAACTAAATTTCTCGACCACTGCTAAACTATGTCATACTGTGGGTGCAGTCTCCCTTTGAAATTTGTCTAATAATTCAATCAGTTTGTAAACATCCGTCTGACTTCGTCATACTGGCATGTGCCCCTTACGAACTTGCTCGACAAGTCAGTAAGGTCAGTGTCAAAGCGGAGATTAAAAATGTAATCGGAGTATTGTTTTTCAGAGTACAAACCACCTGCTGGATGGCAAACAATGTTGATTTTCAAGAGAATACTCGATCTCTATTCGTTTTTCGCATTAAAAACGTGACACTGCTCTCGTGATTTCGAAGTACACAAACCGTTACTGTCAAGTTTCTCGATATTTATGATTTATCTAGTGTTTGATTGTTTGTCACGCAAAAACCATAAAAACAGAAACGTCTTCTGGCAAGCAGCAAAATCGGCAGTCTTGTACGGATTGGATGCAGAGGGACGCAGGAATCCGGGTATTGCTTGCGACACACGGCACACCCCCTTTCTAGTGGTCTCTCTGTTACAGTTATGTATGAGTGTTTGAATTGGTATAAATTTGGAAATGTTAAACGCTAATATGTGTCACTTGCTGCGTAAAATTTTTTTCTTCGTTTTTTTGTGTTTGTGATGGCTTGGGGCCGGTTCCGGCCATGTTCGGCATAACTGCCCAAAGGAAGTAAATTCCGAGCCGACCTTGGTGTTCTCGCGTGGCGTGTAAGAGCAATATATAGGAGTACTGCAATAGTGAATAATGGGCTCTTAACGCAGTCTAGTACGGTAGGAACAACAGCAGCGCGTAACGATTCAATTTTATTTGGGCATTGGGTGAAGACACTAGCACCGGAACACGGGACACCGGCGCAACCGGCCCCGCCGTCCTTGCTAAAACAACCCCCCCTCTCCTCTCCAAAGAGGGTGGGCGGGAGGGAAGAACAACTTGTTACACGAGAACAACCTTTACTCCAACACAACAGGAACTGAAAATGCACTAACAGAAATGCACAATCACTACACATGAAACATCCACAACCGAAACTGCATTGCTTATACAGCATCGGGATATGCATCCCAAGACACACCCTAATGGGTTTTCTTGGCTGAACACTGGTCAACCAAGTCGTCCAGCCTTGCGATCGCCTCCGCTGCGTTAACCGGAATTAGCTTAGCTAATTCTATTTAAAAGCTGATGATCAATTGCCCGCATGTCGTTTGGTAGTTGAAGATAGGTTAGGTCGGACACAGATCAGGTGATTTATGTTATGGGCCTGTTTATTATTCCACTCCCGGTTTCTTTTGCGTATGTTTCATATTAGAGACATGTAGTCCATTTACCTGAACGTTTCAGGTGATAGATTTATTAAGCTGCTTTTTATTCTGTGAATTTAATAAAATTTAAGTCTACCCGTATGTTATTATTGTGTACGTATTCCTTGTACTGTAGATCGGTATTTAGATGGTTTTATATCAAGTGCTGAAATTCAAAGAGGAATGATTGTAGTGTCTGTTCTTGGCAGTATCGAAGGCATAGAAGAGAGTAAACACGTGTTTTTGGTGGTTAAAATGGCAATTCGTGAATAATGATTTTCTCGTTTTATCATGTTTTGTGAAAATCGATTGAAAGGGGACAAAATACTCGTACATCTTCATTCGTACTTACTTGGTCTGGGTACGTAAATACCGTACTTGGTCTGGGTATTTCAGTTAGAGCGGATAATAGAGCATGATAGCAACTGGATTCTCGGCAAATCGTACTGTTGTAACGGTTTTCCGAAGCAGCGTCTGACCGGGGGGTTTTAAAAACTGGGTGGCTGCATAATGTACTCGTACCTTAAAGTGCTTTTACGACACCAAACAAATTATTACAAACCCAATGATGGCATAATGCGGTTGTAGCAATCTGTTGTGCAAGTACAAATAGAGTTATCAAATCGACGTTTATGCCACAATAAGAAAATAAATCACCGCTTGTGGAAACAGACCATCGCTTAAATGGCACTCTACAGACAAAAACCTTTCGCGTACACCGACACCGCACCTTGTTCGTTCAATAATACGCTTTGAACAAGGATCGGCATTATATTTCAGCAATATCAGCTTCTGCAAAGTTAGCTTGAAAAACCTGTTTATATACCCAGTATATCATTAACTAGACGTTGATATTGATACCGTCATGCACAAAAACTAGACGTTGTACATATTCAAGCAAAGCCTCGACGATACATCTTTTCTGCTCCTTCCAACAGCGACAATGTTCTGGAAAATATTTACCTTTCTGGTGCACGTCAGCCTGTCTGTCGCGCAAAACTATGCCGGAAACACGGCAATGTCCTTATCGGACATTGTAGATATGAGTACATTTAAGCAAGTATCACAGTCAACCGAGGCGATATTCCACGAAGGACCGGTGTTTGTGGAGACGACCAATGAGCTCTACTTCTCGTCCAACCGTTTTACCGACAGCAGCGGTGGACAGAACATCCGCATTTCCAAACTGAATGTGACCACGCCCAATGCCACGCCGGTCACAGTGACAACCAATCCCCCGATTCTGATGGCTAATGGAGGTGCACGCATTAATCTGAAGGAAATTGTCTATTGTTCGCAAGGGTATAACTCGACGCCGGGATCATTGATGAGGCTGAATATCGAAACACTCGTGGCTACAAAAATCGTAAGTGACATGCTGTTCATGGGTAGGTAGGATATAACTTACCTTTTTGCCCCCTTTGCAGCCTTTGCAAATTGTGCGGCCTTTCGGGACCGCAGATCCAAACCCAGATTTTAGCAGTCCAAACGATGTTGTTTTAAGCGACCAGTACGATGGCTACTTTTTCACCGATCCACCATATGGATACTATCAAAACTTCCGTCCCGAGAACACCATGCCGCCTGCTGTTTATTTCGCCGACAGACGAAGTTTGAATGTCACACGCATTTGGTTTTTTCCCTCGAACTACCGGCCAAATGGGCTTTCGCCGTCCGCCGACGGATCTCGGTTGTATGTCGCCAACTCAGGTACAAGACTTTTTCAATACATGTCAATATTTCTCTTAAGCGCCCCCGATACAATGGGCCACACATGCACGTAGGATTGACAATTTTTATCAACGACTAGGATTCCAAATCGGCAACGGTTCAACGGACCCGACCGTTCCCATTGTCATGCACGTCTTCGCCATGTCCAAAGGCAGCAAGGGTGTTCCCGTGTTGACCGAGATGGATCCCATTTCCACGGGCACCGGCGTCGGTGTGCCGGATACGGTCAAAGTGGACGAGAAGGGCAACATTTACGTGACCGTCAGCAATGGAGTCCGCGTGTACACCCCGGGAGGAGTGTATATCGACACCATCGTCATTCCGTCCGCCGGACCAGTGGCCAATATTGCCTGGGCGGGGAAGACATTGTACATCTTAGCGGAAACGTTTTTGTATTCGGTGCAAGCAAAAAACGGAGCGGCACCGTTGCATGATATTAATAACACAAACTGGTGATACAATAAATGTTTTCCTTTCCAAAATTATTTATAAATTTTTAAAATTTCGTGCACAGGCGTGTTCAAGTAATACATTGATTCTTGAGATAAGCGCGGCAATGACTGCATTTAGCAACACAGCAACGAACAGTAGAATTAAACAGATTGCTTCACAGAAGCAACTTCAACAAAGACTCATAATAATTTCAGAAATGCACACAACATAAGCGCAACCCTGTTTTTTTGTCAACTGAAACTTGTAATGTGTCATGCACGTACTCATACAAAATTACGGATGCAGGTCATGTATCTGAGTCGTAAAAATGTTTTCACACAAACTACAGATTATGCTAGTGGTTAACTTATACAGTCTCTCCATCTGCCATTATGCATCTGCCATTACACATAACAATACGCCTGCGCGGGTTTACACTAATAAAAGTAAAGTTATAAACAATACGCCTGCGCGGGTTTACTTATACAGTTATACGTAAGTACGAGTAATAAGCATTCCAGTAACTATGCAGCGAATAACACTGAATATAAGAAACGATTAAGTCGAGCAAAACCGTGCCCAGCAACTATCAAGTATCAAGCGTCAGTCCAACAATTTTACTTCATAACTGGATACAGACAAATGATTATACGAGTATAAATCTTTATTAAGCTTGAGTATACAGAGTAGTGGACAGCGTCACGAAAACAATATCAACAAATCAAATATGATTATCATATATTAACTAATAAACATAATAATTCATGAGTTTTTGTGTAGTATCTTTTGTGTAATATAATGTAATTATAGCTGCAGCTGATGTACTAGTACTGTACATATAATATACAGAGTAAGTAATATTTGGGCTTAATGCTAATGTTTAATTCAGCATTACGAACATGTGTCAGTATGTAAATGCATCATTCCGGAGGCGTAATCGCATTAAAGATCAGTCGTATTCCATGGTGGCACTGACGATTCACAGTCGATCGGTCTCCGCAATGTGTCAAAGGTCATGCTCGTACCTCTTTTTTGTACAGAAATGTAAATGATCGCTTGTGTTTTGAACCTGGTTCTTTGAACCGCAACGCCATCGCACTAATGTGGCGTTCAATTGCGTCCAGTAAGAATTTTGCTAATTTTTGCGGGGTTTGATCATCCAGCTACAAGCCATACGCAGTAAATGTACCAGTACATCAATATCAGGATGGGAAATCGTTATACGTTTGTGAAATTATACTGGCATTGTTTTATTGCTATTTCTTGTGTTCAACGTGTTATCCTGTCACAGAATCATCAGTTAAGTTATTATAACGCCGGATATCTTAACTGGAACAGCGATGGCGGTGCCAGTTATTTTCCAGTGCCAACAAACTCTGATTATAAGCCGGTGATGTATGACCCACTACTACAGCGGGCTATGAATGGATCTTACATTGTCCGCGTTCAAGGTAGACATAAATGCAAATAAAAGGATGTGCGTATTTACGTAGCGGTAAATACAGTAGATACAGTATCTAAAACCAGTAAACACTTTAAATACCAATGACAGTCGCAGACGTCATGGCATGTTAACGGCATGATTCACCGTCTCCGGCGTTCTGAGGTTGAACTCGATTTTAGCGTTACTCTTCCTGACTCAATAATTAGATTAGACCATATAAAATTTCTTCAGGTGACTAATTAATTTAGTTCGCTTAAACTTCACATCACATGTTAAAGCTGAGAGCGTCATTTTGTACGACTGGTGCATCAGCTGCTACCGTTACTGGAAAGCAAAGAGAGGAACCTTTTCTGATGGAAAAAAGTAATTACTGGTGATTGCTAAAATGATCCGCATTTTTTTCCGAAACAGCAATTGCGTCGTAGAAGCTTAGTGTAACCGAAGGTAATTAAGGACAGTTATTGACGGGAAAGACTTTTAGCTGTATTATAAACAGTCGACAAAGGCAGACCGTCGAGAGCATCTAGAAATTCACGAGTACTACTTTTGTATTGGCTGTTTTCGTCTGTTCTACTTCTGCTTGTTCAAGAGAGGGTTGTAAAAGCAAAATGTGTGACCTCATAGGCAATGCAGTTTTCAGTAAACGTCACAACCGATAACGCCATTCGCCATATACACGGACAGATGCGCTAACTCCAAATTGCAGTTCACTGTATCTGTACGCACTCTGCAGTTTCCCGATTTTTATGCTAGTTACGTAATTATGTAGTTAGTGTTAGTTTTACGAGTACCATTAGAACATAGAGCTTCTATTTCATTGTCAGCCAAAAGTATCATTTGTGCTTTCAAACTATAAATACTTTGCTCGTGCAAAGAATATAATTCTGTGTTATCGATGCCGATATTCAAGCAACATTCTTCGTGAAACGACGGTAAGTAGCGAAGTTCAATACGTGCATGGTAAGGCGCCTGCATGTTCTACATAATTTGCATCGGGCGCCGTGAGATGCTGCAATTAAACCTTCGTCAGGACCAAAAATTTGTCTTGTAGACAAGAAAAGCGTTCCGTTACACTTCTTCAATTCTACAAACCCAAAACCAACGGGGAGCGATAACGGGGCTCGGTCGGTGCTGATATGTTTCCCAACCACCAGCTAGTTGGGATCATACAACTGCTCTTGCCTTGTGCGCTTGTGGTGCTAAGTCCAGCGATGCTGATCGTGTAGTTCCTACCAAAAGCGCATCATATACCTGGTCGAAATCGCGACACAGCGCATCGTGATGCAGATTGTCACCAAACCGTTCGGAACTTCGGCTTAAGAACTACGTCACCAGAACAGCGATCAGACACTGTGCGCTTTCTAACGTAAGTACAAACTTTAAAAGTTAAGAAAACAAACGAACAAAGATTAAATCAAACTACCGATGGCAGTGACTTTACAGCGTAACCGAAACCTTTGCATTTCATTTCATATTCAATAAAGACATATTTGCAAGCTCTTATTACAGCCGCAGCTTAAATTTGATGGTCAACCGTATACAGACCACTTTGCATCAGAATTAAAGGAGCACAACCAAAAATACAGTAGAATTGTAACGTGACATTCTATCGCATACTAAAGAGCCACATCAAAGGATCAAATACCATTTGGACGGAAAACAATGTCCCTATTAATGTGGCCACCCACCACGGTGGTCGAGCGCTCATGTACGTCATTGCCCAGTAGACATCCGGCGGAATCCAGCAGACGAAAACGGTAATGGATGTTAAGGTCAGCACTAAATATGGTTTCACTCGCCGGCGCCGGTTTCCTAACCGCTGTGGTGGCGGTGCTCGTGCTCTTTGCCGAGCACTGTCTCCTGTGGTCGCTCGTGTAGTGGAGGTGGTATTCTGCTCCGCGGATGGATTCTTTTCAATCTGCTGATTCCCAACCCTCTGCTTTTTCCATCGCTTTATGATCACATAAACGTACGTTCCGAGAATGATTAGAAGAGGAAGCACTCGGTGAAGGACAAAATCAGCGCGTCGCCATGCAATGATACCACCCGCCGAAACTTGCTGACAGGCCTTGGATTTTCCTGGTGGAATGTAATAAAAAAATTCCACCAGAAAAAGAGGAAAGTGAATTACGTGAACGTACGCCACGACGCCGAGGCACAGCAAGAGAGCCGTCTTCTTCGTGTGCTGGTGACTATACGAGACCGGATACGTAACCGCCCAAAAGCGGTTGACTGAGATCAGGACGTGTATCAAAGCCGGAACCGTTTGGGCCACAAATCCACCGTACCCGTAAATGACACAGACCGTTGAACCACCAGGCCACATTCCCGTCACAGAATTCGTCATACCGATGGGTCGCATGGTCAGTAGAACGACGATATGGCCGATGGAGATGAAGATCAGGTATATTGTGAACGATGTCACCTGCGTCTGTGGAAGGCACTGCAGGACCAACATCATGCCATTCAGTGCGACACCGGCACAGGCTAATAACAGCTGTGTGATGACCAGCGGAGACCAGCCTTGCGGAGCGGCTTGCGTTAAAAATAACGTTGCGTTATGCACAATTATACTGGTGTTGTTCATCGCTGCCATTGTTATGAGTCTTATGACCGTATGGAGACAAAGCTATAAATGCCGGCAATACATACCCAGCTGTGTAACTGGCAACGTTAAAAGAATAATTTGATTATGGGAGTTACCGCTGCTAAAAATCTAAAACCTGTATACAGGCTACTTATCGATGCCTCACACTGTTTGTTGATTTAGTATTTAAAGGGAAAGGCTACAAGCGCATACCTGCACGCTTACAACAATAATAAATATGATCTCTGCTTGCTAGAAAGCGCGTTTAAGTACGGCAGGCCTGGTTTACTGTTTTTCGGCGCCTAACAGCGACATACAACAGATACGTAATGAAAATGTCATTTCCAATTATTTCAAACTTAATAGCTTTTCCGATTTCAATACTGTATGGTTTTTACCGATTTTTCATGGAAAAAGCAATCACACGACTTAACAGTTCGCAGCATTGCTGTCTGTTGGAATTAACAGACGGACGGTACCTTATTGAGATCCATGTGAACTGTGATTAAATGAATTTTTTTCTACTTTCCTGTTTCCATGAACAGCAATAACATGTTCTTAGAGAATATATGATAACTGCACCCCCGGGAAGATAATGCGCTGCTAAAGTCAATAAATTCCTAATCAAATAAGTAATTGAATGGCGCATCGGAAATCTACTCGAGTTTCCATTTATGCGTAGCAGCTCTTTATAACTGCCGAAAATAATCGTTTAACTTTCGCTGCATCCTTCATTGTGATATGCGCAATAAGCAGCATTACAAGTTACCCGGCAAACCATTCTTTAATACGGTACCAAAACTACCCGAGCCAGGAACTAAATAATTAGGTACTAATTAAATATCCGCTTTTTAGTTAAAACAAAGTAGAGTGCTTCAATTTATAATAAAGTAGACATAATTAATTTTATCGCATGCTGAACAGCCACATTAAAGGGTCGAATACCGTTTGAACGGAATACATGGTCGATGTTACAGTATGCACCCAGGTGGGCGGGGTCATGTAGAGGTACACCAGCGCCCAGTACACATCTGACGGCACCCAGCACATCAGCACGCTAATCGAGGTCACCGTTAACACTATATATGGTTTCACTTTGCGTCGTCGAACCACTGAACTCTGCAGCTCCGTTGACGCTGGATGTCCACCGGCAACCGGCTTGTTGGAAGAATTGTGATCCGTTGACCGGTTGCCTTCGATTTGTCCACCAATTCGTCGTTTTGTCCAGCGTTTCGCCATCACGTAGATATAGACGCCGATGACCAGTGCTAGCGGAATTACCCGATGCAGAACAAAATCAGCGCGTCGCCATTCGATTATACCGCCCGCCCCCGGTTGGCAGCTGGTAAACTTATCGGTTGGGCCAAAGTAGAAAAATTCCAGCATGAAGACGGCCAGCGGCACCACATGGACGTAGGCCACAACGCCCAAGCATAACAGACTGGCCGTCTTTTTATTATGTCGCTGATTGTACGACACCGGATACGTGACGGCCCACAGACGGTTGATGGCGATCAAGACGTGTAGCAGTACCGGAATCATACTGAAGACGAACTGGAAATAGACGTAGAAAGCGCACAGTGATTGACCACCGGGAACTCTCCCGGTGACGTAGTTGATTAAACTAAACGGTTTGGTGACAAGTTGTACCACGATGTGACCAATGGCGATGGCGACTAAATATATGGTAAAGGCTGTCACTTGCGTCTGGGGTAGGAACTGCACGATCAGCATCGCTAAATTGAGTACCACGGAAGCGCAGGCCAGCAGCAGTTGTATAATCAGTATAGGCGTCCAACCGCGATATGTCTGTTGAGCGTGGGCAGATGATGTCGTATTACGGAGGACAGTGGTATTAAAGCCGGCTTCCATTCTCTTTAATTATCCGTTGCACGATCAAATTCTGGTAGTGCTGTTGGCGGAATTATGATTGTACACAGTGCGATGGACACTTACTAAGGAAATTGATGTTCTACTAATAAGTAGTTGAACTACGCAATAAAAAATCGCTCACAGAAGAATTATTACAAAATAAGCAGGTTCCCGGAAACGGTACAAAGTTTTACGTAGTCGTGGCAAAAAATTAAATGACTGTCCAACGAGCTCCAGCAGGAAAATTGATTCAATCCTGTTCGTACTTTTGTAGGCTACAAACGTTTTATCTTTGTCGATGCTATAAAAACTCAGCTCACTGTCTGTCTGATCAATATTTTTAATTATACCTTGTGGTATTCTTGAACAGCAATTACAAAATTAAATTATCCAATTTTGCAATGGCGCAGTTTCTTGGTAAAATTGCGTATCTAAGAATTTCCTGCGGGGTCCACCAGTGTAATTACTTCCGTTTATTGGAAAATGTTGCACTATCCGCTTTCTCGTGATATCCTCAGCTGACGCGCCGAACAATCGCATTAAATAACGATCTCGATTTTTCTTAGAACATATAACAGAAATTTTAAACAGTTGCAATTCGTTGTATGTATCCATGTGACAGCAATTTTAAACAATTTTAATTCGCTGGATGTATCGTATAGCGGAGTCAGGTGATTTGTGCTGGAGAAATTTGCTGAAAACACTTGCACCTGTTGAAGGTGTTAATTAGTTTTGTGCGTATGTTGGTAAAACTTTTGCAAGTACAGAATCTGTATTTACCAGTATCGGGGTTCCTCCAGGTCTGGCATTTTGAATATGCCATTATTGGAGGCACAATTAGCTTTAAAGGTTGGAGCTAGGATTTCTAATCCACCTCAAGGAACGGTAACAACGTCACGATCTGCAATTTTGCAGCTGCGGCTGCTTCCTAACAAGCAGGGTTATGAACTGCAAACAAAGAATTTACGAACACCGGCAGTTATGCATCGCAGTCGTTTTATCAAGACACAAAAATACCTATGCGTGAAATAACACAACGATAGCCGCGGATGTCAGCGCATGATACAAAAATTATAAACTCTTCCGGAAAAAATTATGTCACGACATTACTTTAATCTTAAGCTGATCAGCCACATTAAAGGATTAAAAATTATTTGCAGATTGTATAACACGGTCACTGCGCTGTACCACCACGAAGGCAGCCTCAGTCCCAAGAACAACAGACTCCAGTAAACATCCGCTGGTGACCAACAAAAAAATACCGAAATGGCGGTGGACGTCAGCACAATGAAGGGCTTCACTTGTCGCTTTTTTACAGCCGACTCTGTTCTCTTCCGTCTTCGTAGCGTTGGTGCGCTTACCATAAAACGTGAGTTATTGGAGGCAGCAGGATTACTCCGGTTATCAATTAGGCGTTTCTTCTTCCATCGCTGAATAGCGATACCGATATAGATGCCGATAACCAGGAGCAGTGGTATAAAGCGATGTATGACGATATCCACGGCTCTCCATTGTATCAGTACACCGGCCGCCAGCAGACATACTTTCCGACGTTTCAGTGGACTGTAATAGAAAAACTCCAGCAAGAACATGGGAAACTGCACGACATGAACGTAGACCAGAACAGATAAACATAACAAGCATGGTATTTTGCGACGGTTAACATGACTGCCGCGGTACGATGGCAAACAATTTACCGCCCGCAGACGATCAACAGCAATGAGGACGTGCAGTAACACCGGCACTTGACTGACGACAAACTGCACGTAGTTGTACAGGACACACACAAAATAGCCACCCGGGAAGACCCGCTAACGGCTGCCATGAGGCCCAACGGGCGAGTGGTAATGACGTAGACAATGTGCTCAAAAGATATAGCTATCAGGTACACCGTGAATGAGGTGATGCGAGTGCGCGGTAGGGCTTGGATTAAAGGCATACCCAGGTTCAGGATGATGGAGATACAGGAGATACCGGCTATCGTAATCAGCAGCGGTATCCAGCCCGGTTGTGCCGTTGGGGGACGGGTTATATTCCATGTACTGATGTTTGTTTGTATGGTCTACTAGAATCGTTGAATTACAGGCCAGGGTCATTCTGATTGAAAGCCACTCAGCCGGGCCAGCCGAAAATTTGCTGTCCGTGCTGGAGATCCAAATTTTGAAACATGCAGGTCCAAAGAATGTCCTTTAACCAAGGTTCACAAGAAATAACTAGATCTATCGGCAGAACTTCATCTACGTTTGTAGCATACAGTTTCCGCTGTACATATACAACTTCTTTGAGTCCATTCCTGTTGTGATAATGTGATGTCTCCAAGTACGGGCTAATACTTTAATAAGTATTACCGTTTTACGACTAGTACAAGACGACAACTAAATGAGAAGTACAACATCTAAAGACACAGCAACAGGAAATAACGCACAGTTGCTAAGTCGTCGTTTGTATCGTGACTTTCACGATATGCCAATAATCTCGTGATATGCAAATATACCACAGATAATTTATGTTTAATTTGAGCTTCACTGGAAGAGAGAGCATTTGGTTTTGCCTCGATTAAGCAGCATTCTAAAAAAGTCAAAATCGGTAATTGTGATCATCCTGTGTAGCATCGCAATCAACATTTTTAAAATCTGTGGTTATTGAAAAGGCTGACGCTAGTTTAGCAATAGGGCATTAGCAAGAGGGCATGACATCAGCATTATTGCAAATACAGTTTCCTCATTTTCTATTCTGTCCAGCGTTACCAGGTCCTCGACCAAATCCAACGCAAAAAGAGGGAGGCAGCGGTGCTCACCAGCGTGAATCATCTGACTTTGCTTGATATAATTAATTTGCCAATAGGTGTAGCCAGAGGCACTTCGAGATTAAGCTAAATTACAGAGGTGTTCACCAGTGAATTAATTAGACAAAAGTAATTTTCCAAAGACCAAACTGATCACCGAACTAGTATTGAATAGACACCTTACAGTAATTGGCAGTTGTGTCCCCAGAAATTCTGTAAAGGGATCAAGTTGGAGAAAACGGTTGGAAAACGAATATCGATTGGTCCTTTTCCAGGAAATTAGTTGGAACAACCATTAAGAAGGAAACTAAACTAAACTTGGAACCAGAACGGACATGTCTGTGTAAATTGTGAATATTTCGGCAGAAGAAAGCGTTTGACCTGAAATGGCCTTTGGCTTAACATTCAGCATCCCAAGAGCAAAGTTTATGCTCGCTTTCAATAATTAATCACAGACTTAATACCGTGTAATCCGTATTAGGCACCCTTTTTAAAATGAACTTTGTATCCTTCGCTGATACTGAGTCGGTACTAAACGCTTCCTTTCGAGACGTTTGTGTCGGTATATCAATATCTTAACTCTTGTTACACATTTCGCTAATGTCAGTAGCCGTAACGGCTTGATTGAAGTACAGCTATCATGCTTGCTTGCTCGCTCGTGTACTACTACCGCTTTAATCATCTCAATCCGGAGACTATCGGGTGTTCGAGAGCCGACTGTCAGGTGGCGCTGGCTAAGCGCGCACCGACCATCGACGGCGGAACAAAGCAAACCCGGATGTAGGCTTTTAATGCCGAAATCTGAACACACATCGCGCCTTCCGCGCCAGCCAAAAACCAACTGCCAAAAAACGGATCCTGCAGCCAGCACAGCTGTGCTGCAGGCCGTGCAAAAGCGTGCAAATGCCCAGACAGGAAAAAACCCAAAACCAACCAATGTCAGAAGGGCTGAGTCATAAGCCCGCTGAAAGGAGTGCGATTCTGAGCGATACGTCTCTGTGAGCGAGGATCGACGATGAAATCACAAGATCGAATAAAATCGTATTTTATTAGATCGAAACAAAAACATCAATCATCGTGAGCAAAACATCAGTGAAAAACAAAGCAGAAAACACCGAAGTGAAATCTAGAAATCTTTCACTGAGGCCAATCCGTCGTAATGAATCGGTGGAATCCGATGAATGGAGATCGGCTCCACGAGAGCGGCTCGACAGCTCCGAATCGGCGGTCCAATCCGAGACCGACGTGAGCTCAGAGCCGAGCGCCCGGGCACCGCCCTGATACGACTGTCACATAAATAATTATTTAAATACTAGTAATTTCTCGTCCTGTGATGATACAGATGCTGGTTTCCAATACTGCAAGCAGCAGGGTGTCTCCTGCAGCGATAAAATATAGTAACTACTAGAGCCCTGCACGAGCGAGCAGGCGTCGTTTTGCGAATTTGCGAACGAGCTGAGCAATAGAAAAAAACTGCGAGCGAGCCGAGCGAGCGGGATGGTCGGGTGCGAGCGATCGCGAGCCTACAGGCTGACATTGTGCGAACTGCAGAAGTTTCTAGTACAAAATTACATTGACCGACCTGAAAACGATCTTAAACCACCGTCACCTTCGCGCTTCGCGCGAAGAGATTTATTTACTAACTTTCTCAGACCGGTTGGGACTCTGGACTAAATTTTGATATTTTGTACTCGTAGCCAACAAAAACATTAATTGACGGGTTTATGAATCAGTTGAATGATTCCTAAGACAGGTGCATTTTAATTTTTGAGCATTCTATTATATGTATTTATTTCAGGCTAAATTAAGAAAACTACATCCAGTTGAAAATTATAGAAATGTATTAGCAAAAAAATGAAAACTAATGAAACGGACTACCAGTATGCAGATATAAGTGATTGTCTCTGAACATCCAATTACACTTATGTACTGATTTTTTGTGTTGGTGAAAAGTTTGGTATAATTAATTCGTGCAAAAAAATTGATACGTAAATTTTTGCCGATCTCAAGAGCGAGCCGATTTGCCAAAATAAAATTACGAGCGAGTTGAGCGAGCGGAAGCGAATAAAAATTGGAAAACGAGCGACGAGCGAGCGGCGGTTTGGGCGCGAGCGAGCTGAGCGAGCAGGAAGTTTAAAAAAAGCAAAACGAGCGATTTGAGCAGCACTTTGCTGCTCGTGCAGGGCTCTAGTACATAACTACTCACCAGTCAGTA